GCAGACGGCACCCATCACCACCCAAAAGCCGCTGCCAGCACCCCAGCATCTCCTCTGCCTCCCCAGGGGGGTCCTGGTGGGACCGAGGCACCCCACCCATGGTGGTACCCAAGGCCCACAGCTCACCTTGACCTCATCCATCCAGTCGATGCTGTGGAGCATCTCCTGGAAGAGGTGCTGCAGAGCGAGGTTCATCTCCAGGCGCTGGCGCCGGGCAGCCAGCAGCTCCAGGAGCTGCTCCCAGAGCCGCAGGATGTTGTCCTTGCGCCCGTTGATGCGCTGGATGTCATGGTAGCCCTCCACCTCCAGCTCCTTTGCCACCGCCTTGATGGCCTGCACCCGCTCCTTGTAGGCGGCCGTGTCGGTCTCGATGGCTTCGTGCTTCTTCTTGGCCGCCTCCACCGCCGGCAGGTCCTGGCCAAAGTTGTCCTGCCCCGGCACAAAGCCCATGGTGAGGCTCTGGCAGGGCGCCCGGTCCCTGGGGTCAGCGTCCCCGGTCTCACCTGGGCCACCAGGCGCTGGTTCTCGCTCAGCCAGGCCTCCCGCATGGCCGCTTTGCGGTCAAAGCGCCGTGCCAGCTGCTCCAGCTTCTCCTGCCGGATAAGCTCGGTGCGCAGCGCCAGCTCCCGCTCATGCTCCGCTTTCTCCAGCTGCTCCCAGGCCTGGGGGAAGGTGGCACCGAACAGGGGTGGCACCCATGTCCCCTCACCCACCTGTGTCTTGTTCTACTGGTGAACCCCAATGTGATCCACGAGTGGGGGAGCATGGCTGGAGGAACACAACCTGCCCGGGAATGGACGTGACCTGCCCCAGGATAGACTCAACATGTCCTGGGATGGACTTGAGCTGCCTTGGGAGATGGACCCGAACTTCCCCAGGAGATGGACCCCAACCCGCCCCCAGGAGATGGACCTGACTTGCTCTAGAACAGACCCAATCTTCCCTGAGATGAACCTGAACTGCTCTGGGAGATGGACCTGAGCTGCCCAGGACAGCCTGGGGAGCAAAGCCCCAGGGGATACCAGGGGAAGAGCTGTCCCAGTGCCGCCGGAGAAGCTGCATGTCCCCACGGCATGGCACGCGGCCAGGCTGCTGGGATGGGCCCCGTACCCGGTTGATGTCAGAGACCAGGCGTCCCTCGTGCGGGGTGTAGACGCGCTGGTTGTTGGCTCGCATCCGCGACTGGATGGTGAAGAGCAGCACCTCCAGGTTGCCCTTCTCCTGAAACCTGCCCCGGAGACAGCTCAGCCCAGGGCACCCACGGGTGCTCAACACCACCGCGCGGGCATGGGGGGCTTAGGGGCACTTACTTGGGGGGCTTCTCCACAGTGCGGTAGGTGCTGAAGGCTTGCAGCTGGTGCTGCACCCCAGCCAGAGAATTGGCGAAGCTGCGGCTGTTGAGGGAGGCGATGGTCTGCTCGATCCAGGTGAGCAGGTCGGACGCCAGCCCCCCATAGCCCTCAATCATCCGCTCTGTCTCCTTGGCATGCTCAATGACCTGTGGCGGGGCCAGTGGTGAGCGTGGGGTGCCGGCACCCCAGCAGAACCACCCCCCCACCTCAATGCCATCCCCTACCTTGCCCAGACGCCTGCCCTCCACCTCTAGGACCTTCATCTTGGAGAAGTAGTGGTAGAAGGCCACCACGTAGGTGATGATGGACTTCTCGTCTGGGTTCTCAGTGAACACATCTGCCCGGCATAAGCAAGAGGTGTCAGACCTGACCCAGCCTCTGCTTCGTGCTGGCATCATCCCAATGGCAATGGGCCGCCACGGCCTCATGAGGTCCCTCCTTGCTCCTACCCAAACCCCCCTTCCACGAGGTGGAAACCTCTCTGTCCCTCCACAGGGCTTGGGCATGTCCCAGGGCGCAATGGGGAAACTGAGGCAGGAGGGTTGGCAGCGGCAGTCTCACCTTCGGGGTCGAGGAGCGGGGTGATGCCCAGGTGCCGCTCTGCCACGCTGAACGCGTGCTCCAGGTTGTGCCGGGCATTGGATTTGGTCAGGTTTTGGAAGTCAACCAGCTCAGGCCTGGGGACAGAGGGCACAAGACAGTGGTGAAGCACTGATGGGACATCCACCGGTGCCACCACTGCCCTGGCATGTCCCGGTGCCCACCGCCATGCCGCCTACCTGTGCCTGTGGATGAGGGCGTTGAAGGCCAGCCCGTCCTTCCAGCTCGAGGTGAAGTTGGTGACGTTCACGTGGGGGTACCTGCAATGGGGACAGGATGTCACCATCACCCTCTGGGCACCCCCAGTCCCCGGCACGGTGGGGTGTGGGTTCCACCACCTACCCCGCTGTCTTCATCTGGCACCAGAGCAGCAGCGCATCCCTGGCAGAGCGCGTCTCCCGGCCCTCCTGTGTCTGCACGATGATGTCCTGGATCTGGGGGGCAGAAGGACATCCCAGGGTTGGAAGAGGACATCCACGGAGGGGGGCTCCTGCTCGGGAAGGAGCCATGGGGTGCTGAGCTGAGGGGTGGCCCACACCCACCCGGCCCCACCTGGAAGCGGAGGATGATGGTCCAGATGAGGCCAAGGACGAGGCGGTGGTTGCCGTCCACGATGTCGTGGGAACCCATGTTCTCCAGGTGCACCCTCTGCTCCTTCAGGAACTGCAGCGCCTTGTCCACATTCTCCAGGCAGTGGATCCGCATCCGGCCCTTGGTGGGCTTTGGCTGGGACATGACAGTGCTTAACACCCTCCACTCCACACTGTGAGGTGCACCCTCTGCTCCTTCAGGAACTGCAGCGCCTTGTCCACATTCTCCAGGCAGTGGATCCGCATCCGGCCCTTGGTGGGCTTTGGCTGGGACATGACAGTGCTTAACACCCTCCACTCCACCCTGTGCACCCCCCACCCCTGCCTGGGGACACCCCTGCATCCCTGCTGCCACCCCAACCCTGGTGGAGCCTTGGTCAACACCAAGCCTTGGTGGAGCACCAGAGTTGGCGGGGCATGGCACGGCATGGCATGACATGACATGGTTCCCAGGGTCTCCAGCTGGATGGAAGTCCTACCAGAAGCTCTCCTGACAACACCTCCAGCAGCTTGATGAGCACCCGCCCATCCCGGAGGTCCATGTAGAGGTCCGAGATGCGGCAGGTCACGCGAGCCAAGTGCGAGTTCACCCACTTGGTGAAGGTTTTCTTCTGCACAGCCTCCCGCTCGTCTGCAACGAGAGCGGGCACCGTGGCACCGGTGGCAGGGACAAGCCGGGAGGACCGAGGGGACCCAAGACCCCCCCCAGACCCACCCCTGACCTGCCAAGGCTTTGATGCGTGAGCGCTCGAAGAGGCGCGCTGAGCTGTTGTCGTTGTCCAGCTCATCGTCGGAGGCGTCCCAGCGGACGTTGATACGGCTGTACTGCTGCTGCAGCTCCAGCTGCTCGTAGTCGTTCGCTGAAGTCATGGTCCCG